GCATTTTTAACACCTGTTGACGTGTCATACCTGTTTAATGACAATCTCTACTCCATTTGTAAAGTACTGGTTGTAGATCTTGATCAGAGTTCGATAAATAAAACTATTGACTCAAACGATGGAAGAACATCCCATATTTTTTCATCTTAATCTTTGACATAAATTATTCAAATTTATGAAACTATTTAAAAACGTACTTTTGATCTCAGATATTACATCAAAAGACATTCAATACTGCATAAACTCATCATTATAGTACCAGGCTTAAAATTTTGTACACCAGAAGAAAGTTTTGTTGACCATAGACTCATCTGTGACGCTCAAATCAAGAAACTTAAAAGGACCAAATAATTCTTCAATTGAAACACCACTATTCTCTAATCTGATACATTTACCTTATACTTATGTAACTGTAGTCAATTTAATCTTACATTTGTGTATAAAGTTAATTGTTTATTTGTTGTATTCTAGTATGTATGCTTTTTACTTGTTATAGCTTGACCTTAAGGGTGTAATTTTGCAATAAAGATTATTATTATGAAAATCAGCTTTGAAATGTAGTACATCTTGATTTTAACACATAAATAACAAAAGCCATTGATTCACAACAAAATTCTTTTAGATATCTTTTTGTCAGCTTTTTTTAATCTTAAATTTATCCTTACAATTAGGCATACCTATTGTTAAACATGTTAAAAGTAAGGCAACAATACAATGTCTCCTTAAAGAGCCAATGACCCGATTAGTAAAACCAATTTTATTTATGTGTCTGTTTTCAATTGAACTAGACCTTTATATATCTACGAGTGTGATAGAATTTACATATATTTTGTAAAACTTACTTTACAAGTAACCCTGTCGTTTTTCATACAAAACTAAATTCCTTTTCTTATCCGATTGTCCTGAAATGTTCACCTATATAATCTAAGTAGGATAACCTCTGTTATTGGTGTTAATATGAAATAAATTTCCATTAAATTGGAGTATGGCACTTAAATCACCATTGTGTACATGTATGCCTTTAATATGCACTGTACAAGTAATTTACTTGTGTAAGATTTTCTTGTGAACAAAAATATTTCTGAGGACTGAATTTAAGGAACATCTTTCCATGTCAAACATAGAAAATGTTATTCATTCATAATTATGAAATAAAACATGATATACTTGAAGAATATGTTATCATCCTTTCACCAGCAACACTTAGTATGAACAAAAAATTTAGCGCTCCCTTACAAAAAAGTTAACGTGTAGAAAAACCAACAGATTGACTCTCAAGAAAAGGAAATATGCATCAATCCTATAACAGCTATGCAAATTGAAATATCATGAAAATCATGAATTACACCATATACTTTAAGAATGTCCAGGGATGACACATCCTGGACTGGTTAAAGCAATAACATAGATAACAGACCAACACATTTTTATTTCTAATCCCCAATTCTTCTTACAACTTATTTACATACATCAGTCTTCTGTCCACAAATTTCATGTAGAATCATGGCATGGTAAACAGATAATTTTGAAGTACATGTGTCTTAGTTTCTAGAAACTGAAATGTCAGCACGGGCCCTAAGCTTGCACATTTTTGTGCAAGGCACTAAGACTGATGTATTACAAAAAATATCATGTCCATGGGGTGTCAATTTTTATAAATTTATATATTTACAGTAAGTATTTAATTCAGGATGTCTTCTCAATCAACATTGATCAATATAAAGTTTTGTAAAAATCAAAGCACTTTATAATTTGGTGGAAATTTAGGTAAGTCAGGTTAGAAACAAATACTTGTTGGCACAGGGAATCATTTTGAAACAGCAAATTATATCTTCATATTGATTTTCATTGAAATCCTAGCAAAATCAGATGTTTGTAAAAAATTTGACACCAGGGATCAATTTTGGAATATCAATGCAATTATACTTAACATCAATTTCTGTTAAAATCCTCACACAGAAACGCAAACCTCATTGTTTCTCAATTTAAAATTTTTATTAAGAAAAATAAGTTTTTACCATTTTTTTTCTATCTTCGGTACATTCAATCACACTGAAAAAGCTTACAACACATATTTACCAATTTTTGTTGGAATCCTAGCACAAAAAGAAATTTCTCAAAATTTGTGAATTTTAAATAAAAATAAAGAATTTTTACATTTTTTAAAATTTTGACATCTGGATTCAATGTAGAATTATTCAATATATCCATATTTCAATTTTCATTGAAATCCAATTACAAAAAGATCTTTCGCAAAATAAGTGAAATTTTAGCAATAAGCCATAAAATTTTATGATGAACATTTTTTAAAAGGAAACTAAAAAATCCTAGATTAGTCCTTGAGAGTGGAATGCATATGTTCAAATTAGTGAAATTTTAGCAATAATTAAGTAAAATTTTAAGGAAATATTATGATGAACATTTTTTAAAAGGAAACTAAAAAATCCTAGATTAGTCCTTGAGAGTGGAATGCATATATGTTTAAATTTGTGAAATTTTAGCAATAATTAAGTAAAATTTTATGGAAATTTTATGATGAACATTTTTAAAAAGGAAACTAAAAAATCCTAGATAAGTCCTTGAGAATGTTTGTTAATTTCTTATCTTTCAGGAACCTGTTGTTCAGTGGTTGTCGTTTGTTGATGTGGTTCTTAATTTTAAGTGTTTCTCGTTTCTCGTTTTTTATATAGATTAGACTGTTGGTTTTCCTGTTTGAATTGTTTTACACTAGTCATTTTGGGGCCCTTTATAGCTTGCTATTCGGTGTGAGCTAAGGCTCCGTGTTTTGACCTATAATTGTTTACTTTTTACACATTGTGACCTTAATGGAGAGTTGTCTCATTGGCACTCATACCACATCTTCTTATTTCTATTGTTCTTGTTCAACATCTAGACCACTTAATTCATGCTGCTCTATTTGTATTGAACTAAATGACCATTTAAACCTTTGATGATCAGTCCTTTGATCACCGACTGTCCACTAATAAAATGTATTCAATAAGCAGTGAATTGAAGCAATTGTCAAAATACAAGTTACTAAGAATAGAAGGTTAAAATAAATATACACAATACACAATGTATATATATGAATGCATTTATCATGTTTATGTACATATTTGTAGTACCAGTTTATGTAGAATAGACTTTATAAGTAAATGAAAAATCATACAATAAAATACTTTGATATACACATGTAGTAATGTTTATGTCCTCAGCTTGGTAATGTCAGTAAAAGACCCTTTTTTTCTGTCAAATTTGAAAACTACATTTGTATATCAAAAAGTAAATGAGAAAGTGTAATTTTGTGTCAAAGTATTTCCAAAATCAAATGTATTTCTATAATTTTGCAGATTTACAAAAAAAATAAATGTCGAATCTATGTCACTTTACATTGCACTGTTGGTGTAAAATATCCCCTTTTCATCATAGAATGGTATCACAGTCAATTTCTGTGATTATGACATGCCAAAATGTAATACTTACATTTTCTGAAAGCTTTTATTCATTTTATTTATAAATTCAATAACACTTTTCAGAACTAAGTCTTGAAACCAGGTATGTTTAAAATAGTGTACCAGATATTAAGTTAGAAATTAAAGCCTCTAAAAATGAATAGTCTACACAATCCACTTGACCAATGAGAAATTTGCAGTATTCTGTCTGACACCTTTCAAAAGCATGTCAAGCCGAATCAATAACTAGAAGTTGCATGAGTTTTCAATCTAGTTAAGCATATCCCAACTTGGAATTCAAAGTATCAGAGTCAGGAAGTAGGTAAATGACATAGTATATATAGACTTAAAAGCTCACATATTACAACTCATCACTGCTGAGCTCGTGACCAAATGTAAAGTTATTCTGGTCAGCCAACATTAAAAAAAAGGAAAAAAAAACATGTGTTTTCATTCAGCATATACATTTATATTAAAAATTCAAAGTATCAGCAAATAGAGAAAAGAAGGTACATGTATTTGACAGTTCCAAAAAGTGCACATCACTTCAAGCAGCTGACCAAATCTTAGGTCATTTGGTCCACCATTTCTGGAGAAAAGTGAGACTCAAATATTTGTTAAAAAAACAAGCAAGAAGATTTCAATACAGGAGTACAAAACTCGTCACTGTCAAGCAGTTAACCAAATGGTATGTCATTCAGTCTCCTCATTTCCTGAAAAATTAGATGAACAGATGGACAGACAAAGTGATTGCAATATACATGTCGCCCCCACTCCTAAAATGAGGTATAAAATTTACATGAAATACAATGTGACCAAACATATTATGTGACCTCTGGACAAGAAAGTCTTAATCTGTGTATTATTTCTTGTCAGTCATTTAACTAGTTTCAATGATAGCTCAAATTCAAACTTGAAAACTTTATATGTACATGTACTATAAGATCATTTACATATAGTGAGTTAACAAGAGTTTTTAAATAATAATCAAAGGTATGCATCTTTTCTTTTATCTTCAAGATCATGCATAATGCCATTACGCAAAAAACCTGGTTAAATTAGGGGAAAAAACTACAAATAGTAAAAATCATGTAAACGTGGCAAATATGGTTAATTTTATATATTAACTGTATATGGGAGTCAGAACTTTATAAAGACCACAGAATAACATCAGAAATGTAATAATTCAATACTAAAATTACTGTCCATTGAAATTTCGTCTCTTTAAATACAACATTTAATCTAAAATACATATATTCCTAAGGAAGTATTGACATGTTTTTAGAAATTGCACCTACAAGTATATAAATATCACTGATAAAAGAATTCCTGTAGCTTTGTAAGAAGTAAATTCTAGACATAAATGAATCAAATTACTAAAAAAAAAACATCAAAGTTTTGTATGACAATGTGTAATAAGTTTCAATTTTTGCAGGATAGATGCACTTAGACATGTACATGACAGACGCACAACATATATACAGACTACACATATATTTAAACTTTTTAAGGGTTAAAAGGCTGTGTGCACATGGACGCACGTCTTACCTCATTTATATTCATTTTCCATCATCTCAGGAGCCTCTCTATAGACAGGGTGTCACTGAAATGAGAGACACATAAAAATAAATAAACTGAGCATGAATTTATATAGTGCTGTATCATGTTTATGTATAAACATTTACATCCCTGCAAAAAGATGAATTCAACAGAAATCAATTGGAATTCACAAAATGTGGTGTTTTTTTTATGAGAATGATAAACAGAAAGGACAGAGTGGGGTTATGGCCTTACTTGGCCTGACTTTTTATTTAAATTTGAACTTATCAATTTAAGATTTCTATTAAAGCATGTAAAGTTGGTTTTATAGCTGTTGTAATGCAAAATCATTGACGAGAAGATTTTTACCAATGATGTCACAATAATGCAATTAATGATCTCAAGAAAAAGGCCTAATCTAATCTAACGGTTTTCTTTAAAAATTACATAAGATTTTGGTCATTTTTAGCTTTTCGACCAGCAAATATAAAGTGCATGCAAGACCTTACATGAACATATTCATCATGTCCTTGCGGTATTGCATTTGCTCAATATTTCCCACTAACAAATTTATATGTGTGAAAATATGCAAATTTTGTCATTTCTGTAGAAAAAATGAAATTTTGCTATCTTTCAACTGTAAAATCCTTGTAAATTTTATACTAGGAGTCATAAATATTTCAAAGAAATGGAAGTTCAAACTTTGTACATACATAACACTAACAATTATTTTTTGCAGATTAGATGCACTTAAACATGTACAAGATACATGCACAACATATAGACTATATTTCAATTTTAATGTAACTTTTTTAAAGATTAGAAAGCATGATGATTCAGATTTTGTATTTAAGCAATTTGGTAGAAAGCATTTAGTTTAAATGGATCCCTAGTTTTGTAATACTTCATTTTTGTAGGCAGAAAAGCACACCCTTCCTTAATCTATTTATTTGTTTTGACTATAGACAAAATGATTTTGGTTAATTTTGGTTTCAACAATCCAAGCGCATGTACACAAATGTATATAATGGCTTACTACATTGATGAGACCTAATGTATGAACTGTGAATTCATTTTTTCATGCCAGGTACCAATTTTTGTGATTTGAGTAAGGAAAACTTGCATTTTCGTGGATATTTGATTACATGGTTTTTCCAAAGTCTGCATACAAACCTATAGAAAATTAGTAATTCGTTAAACATTTAAATTTGTGCTTTACCTGTACTCACAAAATCCACAAAAAATAGGTATCGAACGAATAATAATGAATCCACAGTAATGCAAATTTGGCACTGACTTACAATGTATGTGTAAAATTTACGATTACATCACTGGTCAAGGCTTGGGTGATGAGTGAAGCCATAAAATTGTTGTTTGAAGTCATAAATTATCTCCATATTAATACACAAAAGAAACAAGTTACAAGTGCTAAATGACTGGTTAAATCCAATCAGCAACAGGTAACCCTTACAGGTAAATCAATCACCTGTTGTAATTATCATTTCACCTGTAATTTTATACCACACAGATAAGATTTAACAAGTCACAATTTTACCTAATTAACGATTTTTCACCGAAAATTATAGCACAGCGGAAGAGAAATATAGGACAGCCTGAGGACTGATAAGACCTCACTCGGAAATTATAGGACCGCGGCCGGTTCGTGGTGCTTTAAGGGCCTGGGGAGAACACTGTGCCTTTAACAAATGTACATTTTTGGATTTGAATTAAAATTTTTTAAAAATGCGTTATGGAAAGGACTAGACATTGCAGTGATCAGACATCAGACTTGCTATATTATGTAATGAAATAAATCTAATGATTTGTTAACAAAAGGTACATATATACATCTATCAGAATGCTAAATACACATTAATAATATTCAAAATTAATTGACTCCTAAAAAATTCATTTGACCCCTAACTACAGCTTTTAAGGGTCTTATTCGCCATTACAACTTAGCAGGCTTCAGAATACTTATAAATATGTTTTTTTTTATATCATATTAAACAATTTACCAAGTAATCTTCAATATAATTATTTGCCCATAGGTATTTGTTTTCAGGATTAACAGATAAATCTTTTTCAATGGATTGCTATGTAAATAGAGATTAGAAATTAAAATATACCCCATTTCAAATATACAATGTATAGTCTGAATTTAATTATTTGATATTTTTTAAATTAATTTCTATCAACAAAACTGTCAGTCCCCCTGGCAATATATTATACATGTACAATGTACATGTGTTTTAACCACATTTAAATACTATAAACACAGAGTAAATTGGGAAAATACACTGTAGCCATAATTTGAAAATTAGCATGAAGGACTGTACATTTGTATGCCCAACTCGTTACATTTTTTGCCAAGACTTCTTCTGATGAATACAGGAGTAAACTCCTAGGTAGGAGTGTAAAACTTCCTGGAACTTGTGTGCTATGTACATATGGACTTAATTAAAATTTATGCCACTTTTGAATGATTCCAGGGTGTCAGACATACCTATTGCTTCAGGCAGTGAATTCAAGTCAGAGATGGTGTTTGGATAAAAAGAATATTTATAGAAGTCTTTATTTGTTGCAATTTGCCGAAATTTATGTAGCCCCCTAGCACGTCTATCAGATTTTATTAAATTGTCTTTTGGAACTTCTACTAACCCCCAATTAATTTTATATAGCATTGTTTATCTAGCTTTTTTTCGTCCATGATGTAAGCTTTCCCATTGCAAAGAATTTATCATGTTGGAAACTGCACCCGGTGTTCTGTCTTTATAATCATATGTAGACAAATCTGGCTGCTTTACGCTGAATCTGCTCAACCTGATTGATGTGGTGCTTTTTGTATGGATCCCAAATTGGGGAAGATGACTGGACGGACAAGTGATGTATACGTAAGGTTTTTAACCTTACGTGTGCAGTTTTTAAATTTCTTTGAAGAAAACCTAAGGTATTATTTGCCTTATAGGTAATATTATATATAATATATGTGTTCCCCAGTCAAGATCATGGCTTATAGTTTCACCTAAATATTTACTGTCATTAACAGATACTAAAACATGATTATGCAATGTATAATCAAAAGCAGAAGGGTTAATTTTTTTTAGATATATATGTATTTTATAACATTTTTCAGGATTAAAATTCATCTGCCAGTCCTGTTCCCAGTGCACTAAACTAGATAAATCATTTTGAAGTAATTGTGCATCAGAATTATTATTCACATTTCTATACAATAAGCAGCCATCTGCAAGTTGCATGTTCTGGTAAGTCATTAACATGATTAATAAATAGTAAAAATAATGTTGGGCCTAATTGCTGTTCCCTGAGGAACACAAGAGTCAACAGCTAATTTAGAAGATCTAACACCATTTAAAAGTACCTGCTGTTGCCTGTCAGCTAAAAAAATCTGACTTTCAAATCTTACCAAAATTTACCATAAAGTTTACGATTTATCTAATTACAAAAAATGTAAATGATGCATAAAAATGCTACAAAACTGAGTACGATTTGGTCGAAGTAATTCTTTAGCTCAGTTGTTTAAAGCGAGGCCTTGTAACACTGAGGAGACAATGTGATTGTCTAAATAGAATCATACTCTCCGTTTACATTTGGCGCCCAACTAAAAAACACACAGTGGTTAGAGAGGATTTCTAGCCAGGGTATGTGTTATGAGAGTCATAATGGTATCATGGCTCTTGAAGTGGGGTAAGTTTGATGGGATTGCTTCCCTTAGTACATGTAGTAGATACTTAGCCAGCCATTAGGGGTTGAGCACTGCCTTGTAACACAGAGGTCCTGCGTTCGAGTACCTTAGGAGACAATGTGATTTTGTAATATGAATCATGCTCTCCCGTTTCACTATATATATGATAAGGGTGGAAATTACAGAATAGATAAAAGACCCCATATACTACATGTACTATTAACAAAAACTAATGAGCAAGATAATAAGAGCTATGGTTTTGTATTAGACTTTGCATTTGCCCACATCTTAAAAAAAATCTGTTGCATTAGAAATGTGTTTAATGTGTGCATTTATAGAAGACTTTCACATTATGCATTTCCCAATCATTTCCAACGTCACAGTGCTCAAGTTATAACAGATTTACAAAGGTCAACTGTTGTTACTCATTCATAAAAAGGTCTGTTTCCAGTCTGACTGCATGGACATGAAAGTTGTCAAGCCCTGAATCAGAGCAATATATGACTTTTTTTAATATGTTGTATCATACTGACATCAACCCAAAGCCTCGTTTGATCTGATGTTTGTCTGCTATAACACTTTTCGTATTTTACCCCATGTTATAGTTTAAATAACAAAGATACACCGACATACTAGTATTTACACATGTCACACCTGTATAATTTACACATGTTTACATGCTCCACTTCGATCGTCACCCCTCTTTATAACATCACACCTGTTACACAAAATATACGTTGACAGGTGTCCGACGGAAAAATATTTTCAATGCTTGACAGTGGCTCAAACTATTTTGTAATAATTCAGTAGCCTTTGCTTACCTTTACACATGTATCAAACTGGTTATTATTAATGTAATGCTTAATAAGCCATGAATACACTTCTGAACTGTTTAGGCAACTTGTAGCAATAACTTTTTTCATTGGTTGAAAGATAAGGTCAACCGGATACACCTGAATACCCGCCAAAATGCCAAATTTCAGTTTAGCTAATAACCATTGTTAGTGAAAAATAATATACAGTTTCAACGGACGAAAAAGGAATAAAAACACAGATTTTAAAAGCTCCCCAACAAATCAAAATATTTCTACAAAAAAAAAGTAATTGGAAACATTTATGTGGAGGCAACTATTTCGAAAAGCAACCTCATATGTAAATCAGTGAAAATTGTGAAAACAGAAAGCAGAATCAGACCCTGAAACTTTTCAGGTAGTAAGTAAGTAAGTAAGTAAATTTTATTTAGAGTCGGCATATATATACATAATAACAGACAAAAACATGAGCTCTGGTGATCTCTTTAACCGACTATCACATAAAAGTCGTGCAGCATCATGCAAATACTAATAAATGAAAATGAAAAAGCATGCAAATATACTGACTGACTTTAAAAACGCAACACTCATTTTGTTGATTTTTTTTCCACATCATGTTTGATTCTCATACAACTACTATTCATGCTTACCATACTTCTTTCTCGTAAGAAAAAATCAACATCTGACTTACTTGTGGTTATTGAACATACCGGATTTTTGAAGTCGCACGAATTTCTTAAAGCGAAATTTGGAATCCATAAAAGATTTTTTTCAGTTTGTTTTGCTTGGTGAAACAGTTCTTTCAATCCTTGGTCACACTTAAATCAGTTAAAAAATGTAGCATCTCCATATTGCCAAGACTGAGGAATAAAAAACTGAATCAGCCCATAAGAATACTGCAAACAGGAAAACGTGAACGTGCTGCAACCATACAGTTTGACTTCAGAAACTCGTCTTACTGTCCTTCCGACAACGATACAGGTAGACGGGATTTGTTACTGACCATCAATGACCAGATCAACATGCAGTGACAATGCAACGTCAATAGAATTTGATTACGCAACGTCATTTGCGAGACATGTTTACGGCCGCAACGTCAACTGCTTATCAAATTGCCGAATGCCATTGCGCACAGATTCATGCCATAAACGTTTCCTATAAACTGAACTGCCAAAGAATCGACTGAAGAAAAACATTTAAAGCCCTGAAGTTTCCACCGCATAATTGCCAAAACCCATTGTAATGGGTGGAACAAACGCATATTCAGATTCAGGTGTAAAACAGAACCCAAAACATGTGGAACAGAATTGGTTGATCTTTCTGACAATCATTTTGGCGTTTGTTACAGGCAGTCATTGCTTTTGACGGTGCCACATTCATTCAAAAATTTAAAAAGAATAATCTAGTGTTGCGTTTCTAAAGTCGGTCAGTATATATGAAAGCAAATTAATTTTGATTTCTGAGCCTCCAGAGTCAAAGCTCATGCGGCAATCACCTCTATGTGCATTGAATGGGGGAGCCAGCAAATCACTTAAATATCATAAAATACTACCAAACTAAAAAGCATAAAAGCAATAACTAAATAAATTATTAAGCACAGGCATTTAATAGCAGGTATATATAATAAATGCATAAAAAGCAGAGCAACAGGCCATAATAAAAACAAAAAGAAAGAAAGAAATTTCAGCTTTGAGACAGCACTGGATGGAAACGGCATGAACTGCAGTTGCATTTTTGACCCCCACACCAGGAATTTATATTCCTAAATTGGTCAAAAGAGGTAATAATTCTAGCCTCATTGGGAAGGGAGTTCCATACTTGTACTGCCTCAAATCTAAAGGATCTTTTACCATAACTTGAGGTTCTAGGTCTATAGGTACCTGAGCAGTGTTCACATACCTGAAATTATATGAATTGTTTTTTATAACAACTAGATCTTGAATAAATAATGGACATTTTTTTATTAATTATTTTAAAGGTCTCCAAGGCAATTGAGCGTATCCTACGAGTTTTAAGTGATGGAAGGTTTGAAATTTGTAGGAGTGTTTCATATGAGTTCTGATGGTCTTCATAAATAAAGTGAAGCGCTCGTTCTTGTATTTTTTCTATTTTTCTGGTATTTTGTTCCCCACAGAAATGCCAAGTCAAAGGGCAGTAACTAAAGTTTGACATAATAAAAGAGTAATAAATTGTAAGTTTACTCAGTTTATTTAGGTGTTTCCCAATTCTTTTCAAAACATTTAATTGACTTGCAGCCTTTTTACAAATATTTGAAATATGTAAACTGAAGTTTAATTTAAAACCTCACCCTCACATGATATAGAAATACCATTCAAATCAAACACAATCTTTTTATCATGTGTTTTTTTGCCAAGAGAGATAGCTTGAAATTTCCGTCTGGGTTGGCCTGCATTTTATTTGAAGAAAACAACTGTATTAAATAATTGCTGTCTTCCTCAAGAGCAGAAATTACATCTTGTAATCTTATATCAAGTGAGGATTTGGAAAGACCATAAGCTTTTAGTTTCAGTAGCAGTAAATCATGGGGGAGACAGTCAAATGCTTTAGACAGGTCCATAAGGATAGCTGCAAGGTATTTATTTTGGTCTTAGGCTAATTTCCAATCTTCAATCACTCTTAATAAAGTTGACTGACATCCAAAGCCTGATCTAAAAGCTGCCAAAAATGGATTGAAGATATTATCAAAGTACTGTACTAATTGTACTTCTATGGCATTTTCAAAAATTTTAGAAATGGCCGGTAATACACTTACCGGTCTATAATTTCCTTTTTCTAATACACTATTCTTTTTGTGAATAGGTGTAACTTGAGCTTCCTTAAGACGTTCAGGGAAGGTTGATGATGATAATGATAAATTACATGTTTAACCCCGCCGCATTTTTGCGTCTGTCCCAAGTCAGGAGCCTCTAGCCTTTGTCAGTCTTGTATTATTTTTAATTTTAGTTTCTTGTGTACAATTTGGAGTTTAGTATGGCGTTCATTATCACTGAACTAGTATATATATTTGTTTAGGGGCCAGCTGAAGGACGCCTCCGGGTGCGGGAATTTCTCGCTGCATTGAAGACCTGTTGGTGACCTTCTGCTGTTGTCTGTTCTATGGTCGGGTTGTTGTCTCTTTGACACATTCCCCATTTCCATTCTCAATTTTAACAATATCTGTAAGAGGTTTTACAATAGCAGGTTTAGCAAAATGCCGTAATTTAGGTGAAATACCATCTATTCCAGTGGCTTTTTTAACATTAATTTTACGGATACGTTTCTCAACAAAGTCTTGACCAATAGGGGAAAAGGTAAAACTGTTTTGATCAAGATCTGGAAGATTATCTTTAATGGCCAAAATACTCGGGTGATCATCATCAACCTTTTTTGACTACCTCCTATATTCTTTGCAACATTTACAAAATAGTCGTTAAATATCTCACACACCTCCTCATGTTTTGTAATTAAAACGTTATTTTCAGAGAGGACAGTTTCCTTTTGGTGTATACATAACCTTTATTTGTAAGAAAAGGTTTCACTGTTGGCCAGAAATCTTTCGATTTCGGGCCTCCAGCACACCTCTCTACAAAATACTGGTTAATGGATTTATTTTTTAGTTTTGTAACATAGTTGCGTTGACGCCTATATGCTTCCCAGTTCTTACTACCACTGAATTTTTGAAATTTATTATACAACATTTTTTTCTTATAGATGGCACTTTTAAGCTCTGCATTCATATATGGTACCTAATTTGGAAATTATTTTTCTTTCCTTCAAAGGTGCATGTTTGTCAGCTACCTCAATGAAACTTTTACTAAAATTATCATATGCTGCATTTACATTATCAAATTCAGATATATCAAAATGCTGATTTTCTAAATCATTTAAAAAATTTGAAGCATCAAAATTCTTAAAACTTCTGCATATCTTCTTTTTTTGGTAAAATTTTTGGTAAATCACAGTTTAGCTTCACTGATATAAAGTTGTGCACATCACTAATTCCAGTGCCAAAATTACATATCTTTTTAAAATCACAGTCATGATTCATTAAAATCAAATCTAAAAGGGTTGCTTTAGCGTAAAACATTTACTTTCTTAATGATGTTCTTTAAGTTAAAAATATCACAGATTTCTCTTATCATTGCACTCACATCACAGGGTGGTGTCACCAGTTGTTTCATTAATTTTAATGATAATAATGGTCATGAAGATAGCAACAAAGCAAATGGCAACCCGTGTTTTGCAAAATTGATTCTAATTTCATATTTTTTCGGTGGTTGCAAGCAAAAGTGTAAACGAGCCCATGAAATTCTTGCTGTAAAACATAAAGCACTTGCAAACCCAAAGGGTTGACTGGGTTATAGAAATATGGCCATATCTTGGTCTTCTTCCGACGAACAATAAAACGCTTATCAAAGAGGGCGTCCGTTTGGCTGCTCGGGATGTATAATTTCACAGTCACGCGTCCGGTCAGATTTGGGATGTTAAATCTGATGCCTCGTCACGGTAGAGTGTCACGCTCTCTGTACGTTAAGAACCCTTGCAACAACAATTTAAGGGGAACGTAAGTGGCATGTTGAGAGGCAAAATTTCTGTCCCTACCCAATTTATTCTTATTTTTTATATTTAAGTGGCATTCCAAATTTCACGCTTTATTCCGATCAACCCTAAGTATGCATGAAATATTTGCCACTGCACGCTAAGAACAACAATCAATCACAATGCACAAGTCATGCATCAGTGCGAATCCATTTAACGCCACAGTACCCAAATTGAAAGGAGTACCAATTTTGCAAAAACAGCAGCGGAAATCTTACAAGCTTTCTTGGAGACAAAATAATTTGTATTTTTATAAACTATCATTATGCAGGTCTTTCAACATAGCTAAATATATTTGAATAAAGAAAAAAATAGAGAAAAAAACATCAAAATTTTCAGAACTTCGGCGTCGCATTCGACGTCCACAAAAAGTAAACTTTTAAAAATGAGCATTTCAAATATGTTTAAGGCATATATTTCTTATAAATTGATTAGTGAGCATGGACTATTGTCAAATTGTTCTAAAATGTGGAGAAATAAAACAAAACATCATTTATTCGATTTTTAAGGATGT